TAATTATGACAGATTGTATACGTACATGGATTCTTGCCAATTTTCATCCCTTTTTTCGTTGACAAAATTAGTTCATCTTATCGATGAATGTATGCATGAGATCATGCATCACAGATGCCGAAAGGATCATCCCTAACACTCTCAATTACCCGAAATAACGTTTTGACGTGTTTATATGATTTTTAATCTTTTGAAGTTCGTCCAATACGGATAATTTTTCTTATAATAATTTTTAAGCACCGCTATAAATATGTCTCTAATTTTCTGTGCCACTAATGAAGTTGGGAGATATATCCGTTACGTATCACTTTGATGCATTAACATAGTACTAGATGCTTGGTCCAAGCACATGTCTGGGCGCCCCTCTACTTTAAATTTGTGTTAATAGATAAATGAATTCTTGATTTGAAAAAAATAAAATAGCTACACATTTGGTTTTTTCCTTTTCTTAGCCAAAAATAAAAATAAAAATAAAAAATCATCTACCAAAGGAAAAAAAAAATTGAAAAGTACAACGATGCAGAAATCATACAAAAAAATGTGGAGTAATAAAGGGGATAAGTTTATGGGCAAATTTAAATGCTATTTTAATTTGATTGATAAATGATAAATGTTAGGAGTTAAAATTGTGTAGCTATTTTTGTAAAATAATTTTTGTTTCTCCGGATAAGAATTTTTTTTTTCTTTTAAAAACGGATGACACGTGGCAGAATGGTTAATGCAATATAGTGCATTTGGAGCCAAAAATTTTTAATAAGAAGTTGCCACATCAACATCTTGTATTTTGCTTTAATAGGGTAAAAGGGATTAGAGAAAGAATGCTAAAGTGAGTGATGCATTTTTATTTATTTATTTATTATTATTTTTTGTTTGAAAAGGGAGTGATGTTGATGTAGAACATAATATACAAACCTTTCCAAAGAATCATTAGGTTTTTGCCACCAACCAAGCATATATAGTTTACTACACACATGGATAGATTTTAATTAGGGGAAAAAGAACTTAATCTAGTTTTATATGCTTGATTTAAATGTGGCAAAGAATCCCCCATAATTTACTAATGCTAAAAATCTTCAGGCAGCATCCAAGATTCTTCTTAACCCTCATTTCTTTTTTCACTTCATTTCTCCTTTTTGGACACATAGATCATACATAACATTCAAAAGGTCAAAATGGCACGACATAATAATAACCCTAAAAATATTTCACCTCTCTTTATATCACTTTCAATCACGAATCTTACCTAATCAGATTGTGTAAAATATTTAAAAAGTAGTGATGCCACTATGTGATTGATTGACCTATCTCCCAGACACAGATTTTCAATCGTATTATGTTTATTTATTTGGTCTTTTTGGGGCTGTTATGTCTGCAGAAGGGTACATTCATCGAATTCATTAGCACGCCAAGCTTAGAAAACCAAATCCAATTATTGCCCATTTTGTTATGCTAAAAACCGTACCCATTTCTATGCATGTGCCTAAAATGTGTGATTTAAATATGAGTTTCAGACATTTGATCATTTAGAAACAAATTAAAACAAGTTATTCTCCAACTTCGTGGAAGTAGATGGTTTGTTTCATTGTCTGGTGGGCTTATCTTGCTATTGGTTGGTACTTCAGAGTCAAAGATTTCTCCTAATTTTTTTTAGGGTTTAAAATTTTTTTAGCAAAATGATTGAATGATTAATTGAAGAGTTAATTTATTTAATTTGCGTCAAGATGGCTAGGTAACCTGCGGCTAAAATCTACAAAAACACAACACGAGGCAGAAAAGAAACTGCCAAAAATCTTAAACTAATCGTACGAGCCATTTAATTAGTCAAGGAGTAGTTTATATACTAACTGCGTACAGTATTATTCTGAAATTATAATATGATTTGAGTCACAGAAATGTGCTTTTGATGCCAAAATTTCGGTAACACATAAGCGGAAATGCAAAGACCAATAAATAATTTAAGGGAATAGATTTGATTTTGGTTTAAACTTGTTGAATCACCTGACTGATCTACCTTATGAGTTGAATTTGTAAGGTCAAACCTTTTGAAAGCTTAATTTCTTGATAATTTAATGATTTTTGTTTTTAAAGAATTTCTTTGAATGATGTATAAATGGATTACCTCGCATTATAATTTCATTGCGCAGAGTAAATGTGGTATGAAAATTTGTAAAGAAATCAATCAAGTCCACTTCATTTACATCATTCCTGAATTTTCATCAAATATATCATTATTCTTAAATTAATCTCGGTGAGATTAGTCGTAACAGTGTCAGAATATGTCATTAATTGTGAGGGTCAGAAATTTGAGACTCTGTCAAAATGACGAACAACTCTGGATATCCTTCTACAAAATTTGGAGAAGTGGAGGTATTTTTTATTGTCCACTTGGTAATTATTGATTAGTGCCACTTAGCTGATCAACTTGCTTAATTGTCATGATTTAATTTGTCCAATTGAGTTGAATATATAACACGTAGTATCGATCGTATGAGATATACTAGAAATAAAATGGAGTAAATAAAACAAAACAAAACGAAATTATGTTGTTTTGAAGGAAAAAAAAAACAAAACAATCATATCCGATTTGTCCAACTCTTAATTAATTTTGTTCCACTTGTGAAATATTTGTACTTTAATGGTATTGATGTAGAAAATTTTAGTCCAACAAGGATGCTGGTTGCAAGGTAACATTGCATCATTGAATGGTTACATTTTCATAAATGTTTTGCTGCTTTTGCTAGTGGTTTAAACAAGTGGCTTTTGCTTAAGCCGACACATTAATAGTTTTAATTTGTCACCTAATTCTACGTAGTTTACCTTTTTATTTTTTTTCGGTAACACTTGTGTTCCAGTTTTACCTCATAATTCTTGTGCATCGTCACTAATATTTGGATTTTCATATCAGTAAAATAAAGAATTTACTGTAGAGTGGTTTGATATCTTTGTACGTCAAACATTGAATATAAAGCTTGTAAAATAAAGCTTCGAGCCTGTTATAAGTGTTTTCATCCTTCAAGTTTCCGCAGCATACGAGAATGGCGTATTTTCTTTTCTATTGTGCATATTTACTTGCAATCTATGGTGGACAATAATGATTAGTTTGTTAATAATTTTTGGGTAGAAAGAGTAGAATGGGGTATTATTATATTAATTTTTACATCAAAACATAGTCTAATCGAAATCTTAAACATTAAAATTTCAAATTTAACATATATATATATATATATGAGAATTTCAATAAAAATAATTTTTAAAAATAAAACAGCATATCTATTTATCAATGTTGCAATAATTTTTTCATAATGTAAAATTCCGAAGTCCTGATATTTTAATTTCTAAAATTTAACCATTTTTATGGGACACGAGCATATATAATATGCAAGGGTGATGCGGTAATGTTTGTTTTTATACATGTTATAAATGTAACTTCCAATATTATTTTTCGGGAAGAAAGATAAAGGTGAATTTAGTCCAAATCTCCATCAACAACGAAAAGGAAATCGTTGGTGTGTACACATTTAGATCGAATTCCGATTGCCAATTACTTTTTGACTCCTGGACTTCTGTTTCTTCCAGATTTATCTTTCACATTCATCCGAGTTTTGGAATGTTCCTCTCATTTCACTCTCAGTTTTGGAATGTTCCTCTCGTTTCACTCTCAGAAGTTTTGGAATCATCCAAAAAGGATTTTTGTCCTTTTTTTTTTGAGTTAATTTTCCCGTACAATATGATTTTTCTTGCATTTGCTTATAAAAAACAATTTCATTACACACTTATTCTCCTACTTCCAGGAAGGATATATATATACTGGGGCTTGGATCTGGTGGGCTAATATTTCCATTGTTCGTGTCAAAGATTGCTGCATTTTTTTTTCAGGGTTTGAAAGATCTTTAAATGATCAAAGAAGTGTTTTGGTGATCTTCAAAAATGGCGCACGAGGCAAAAAGAAACAAACAAACGGCAGAAATTTTAATTCTTCTTCTTAGATTGGCAGAAAATTTTAAAAAATTGATGTGGACAAAAAAAGAATTGATGATCCTATTAGTGGGTCGTTCGGCCAAAAAAAATTTAAAGAATTGATGAGGACAAAAAATATTTTACTTTTTTTTTGTGGAAATAAGTAGTTGTCACGGATTTCGCAAATCCAAGAGCTTAATTAAACAGGCTTTCGGATTTGCCAAATCCGAAACATTTTAATATAATAAAAAATTTTATATTTTCTTTATTTCGAAAAATACGGAAAATAGAGTAAAAAAGTGAATAGTGAACTTTGATTTGCGAAATCCGAAAGCCTTTCAATTTAATATTAAAAAATGAACAAAAATGGCGAGCAAATTCAAAAATTTGGACAATAAACTTCAATTTACCAATCCGAGTTCTAGGGTTTAGGGTTTAGGGTAACCTCTCGGATTTGCCAAATCCGAGGGCATCCTTTCTGTTTAGGGATAATTCGTCCTTGTGGATAAGGTTGTTGGATGTATTAAATCGGATCGGATAAGGTAACGGACATTCGAATTTAACAAATCCGAGAGCCCCACATGAATAGTGACTCTCGGATTTGTCAAATCCGAAACATACGTGATATAAAAAGAAAAGGTTGCAGCTTCTCTTCATATCGGGGTTTTCAACTTGTGAGAGTTAGTGACGGTTGTGGCCGGAGTTTTTCAGGCTTTTGGACACACATTACCGCTAAATACAACAAGAATCGTTATTCTAACGATGTTAGTCATTAAATCAATGTTATTTAGTTGTTTTGTTGTGTATTTATATTGTTTGAAGATGGAAGATTGTTAGGACTTAGGTTTGATGATTATGAATCTAATATGGTAATGTAGATGTTGTTGTTGAGTTTATAGGTTAGGATTGTTGTTGTTTTAAGAATTGATTGAGGTTAATTTAATGAATTTGGATGGATTTTGTTTGTATAGAAATTTGATAGGGTTTAGGGATTATGATTTTGATTATATTGAATTATGATTAACAGGCCAATAACGATTAAAATGTCCGTGTACGGGCCATACATACTTAATTTGTTTCATAGAAGCAAGTATGTGATAGAGAATGGTGTAGTGAACACATTTGAGAACAAGCCGGACGACACTCTTATTATTGATAGTAGGTTGTCATATAATGAGTTGCTTGGTTTGATTTGTGTGGCGTTTGGTTGGAATCTTGAAATAGTTAGGAAACTCTACATTTCGTTAATCTTTGTGACTCACGGTATAAGGCATACCATGAAGATAAAGAATGATTCACATGTTGGGATCATCTACCTTCTCGAGCCAATGACAAGTGTAGATTTGTACTTAGACACGGAGGATATCACTAACCAAGAAAATGAAAACAATCATTATGGTGGATCTTTCTTTACACAAGATGATCACGTGGATGAGGGTGAACAAAATGGTCCAAGGCAAGAACAAGCAAGTATTTCACGGGTTCATGAAGAAGATGGTGGAAGTTTATTTCCACAAGATGATCACATGGATGAGAATGATTCCAACTACGTAGCTCCAAGCGAAAGCTCAGAAGCACGCGATCCCTCTTCGAGTAGTGAGGTCGAGGAAAGTGATGATGAAGAATTGGTGAATGAAGAAAGGGAACTAAATCCATTTTTCCGGTGCCATGTGTATAAGGAAATGGGTGAATGGAATACCTCGAGTGTTTACAAGGATGATCTTGGTATAAAAATGTGGGACGAGACTCCCAAGGGATGGGTATTAAAGTTTGTTTCAAGTCCCAGGCAGTTCGATGTAGGACATTAGATCCCCTCCCCCGGTCCCTCCCCCCAAGATGGCGAACCTATATGCAAATGGAGGATCCCTGTGTCACTAGGAAAATCGGTGCAAAAAGATGTGAAGGAGTGGGTAAAAGTTGATGTCCCCTACAAAAGGGCGTGGAACGGGAGGAGAAAGCCATAGAAGCGGTTTATGGCGATTGGTCCTCCAATTTTGAAGATCTTCCTAGGTAAATTTCAAATTTGATAAATGTCAATTAATTTGTTTTAGTTTTTACTTGTATTGGCATATATTAACTCGGGCAAACTTGATGTGTAGGTATATTGAAGCACTTAAGAGTACTAATCTCAAAACTGTAGTGGAATGCGAATGGAAGGAGGGAGAAAAAGGTTGGAATATGGGAAGTAGGACTTTTAAATATGTGTTTTGGTCATTTGCACCAGTGACTGACACTTTCTGTCTGCCGGTGATTTCTGTTGATGGAACACACCTAGGTGGGGATACAAGGGTAAGTTGCTAGTTGCTGTGGTGTATACCTCAAACAAACACATTTTACCGGTTCCATTCGCCGTGGTTGATGAAGAGACCACTGAAAGTTGGGCAATTTTAATGAAACACTTGAGGTATCATGTTGTGGGTGACACCAAAGTTAGTCTGATTTTCGACCGGAACGCTGGGCTTTTGAGGGCAATGTCGAAAATACCAAAATGGAGTAGTTTAGGTGATGGGGCCCACATGTATTGTCTCCGGCATGTTCGGAGCAATCTAGTGTCGAAGTATATGAGTGCGAGAGTGAAGCGGTTATGCCAAAATATGGGGAAGACGCTTAATTTGGAAAAATTCAAGCGATTGAGGCTAGGTCTCTCCGAATTCAAACCTGAAGCATGAGAATATCTTCGTGACATGGGGGGCTGTAATTGGACTCGTTTGAAAGCCAGACGTCATCGTTAGGGCGTCACAACTACCAACATTTTCGAGAGTTACAACAATGCCCTAAAAGGTATCCGGTTTTTGTCCATTAGACCTATGATCGATGCTACATTCTACAAAACCGTGAAATTTTACCGAGACGAATTGTTATTGGCGACGAGTTGTGATACGCCCCCCCCCCCCCTGAGCTATGGAAAATCTATGAAAAGAAGAATGACAAAGCCGCCACCTATGATGCTGAATCGTTCGATGGCGACGATGATAGTTGGGAGGCGGTAACTCTGACACGGCCTAGTGGGAGGGGTGGGATGGTGCATACAGTCACTTATAATGCCAAAAAGTGTTCGTGCAAGAAATGGCAAGAGTACCGGATGCCGTGTATGCACGCACTTGCCGTCGTACATAAAAAAGGTGATCGACATGTTTCTCTATACCATAAGTGTTGGAGGCATTAAACATGGATCAAACAATTCGAATACAATAGTTTTTCACCGGTGCTTGCTGAGCGACAATGGCCTATGATTGATTGAAAACTCTATCCAAATTACGAAAAGCTCGTGCAAAATAGCTGTTGAGGCCGACACCAAAGAAGGCGATGCAAAATGCAAATGGATTACTGTGCTCGGCAAAGTAGTGGTGCTTGTTGGAGATGCGAAGGAGATCACGATGCTAATTCGTGTCCGCACTCGCATTCCCAAGTAGATAGAACACCTTTGGTGGACGAATGGGAGCATCAAAGTGATTATTTTGTTGTTGTATTTTGTAGAGCACCTTATAATGTAATGTTATCTCTTGGATTGAACGTTAAATTCGTATCTTGTTTGATGTTTGTATTGAATTATTTGTATCTCTTGGAAATTATTGGATGTTTACGGGTTTTGGGAATTGGCAAAACAAAATTCACAGTTTTAAAAATTGGGTAACCCTCGTATTTGGCAAATCCAAAACATACCATTTCGTATACGACTCAGAATTGGCAAATCCGAGTTTGTCCGTTTCTCTGATCTTTCGATTAGAAGACGTCTTGAATTTGCCAAATCCAAAAGGCACTATTCGGTAATCTCTCGAATTTGGTGAATCCAAGTCTGTCCGTTTCTTTGATTTGTCGATTGGTAGACGTCTTGGATTTGCCAAATTTTAAAGCCTTTAAAAATGATTCTCTCGGATTTAGTAAATCCGAATCAATCGGGGGTATAAAAATGGTTGACCTTCTTCTCCCAATTCATTTTCGTCCTCCTCCCCAATTTTACCCTAATGCCACCGCGACACCACCTCCTCCACACTCCCTCCGCCCCCCAATCAGGCATCCCCACCAATCGTCCGTCATTCCCCCATCACCGCCGACCTCCCCTGTGCATTCCTCCACCACCGCCGGCCTCCCCTGTGCGAATCCTCCACCATAGCCAGTCTCCTCTACCACCGCTACTGCTGCCGTGATTCCTCCACCGTCGCGCTGCCGCATCGTCCTCCCCCCTCTCCTTTGTCGTTTCTTTGACTAAGGTAACAACCTAATTTTGTTTTGACCTAATTTTTTTTCCAAATTAATTTTGCCCTAATTTGATTATTATTATTTTTTTTTTTTGTAATTGTTGCTCCCTAGTGTATTTTAAAGGATTGAATATTCTATTTTTGGTTGTTATTGTGCATTCGTTTTATTGATTTATGGGTGGTTTTTTTTTCTCCCAAATATGTTGGAGTTTGTAAATGCGAGAGTAATTGGGTTTTTTTTTTTTATGTACATATATTGTTGTTTGTAGTGTTCTTTTAGTTGGAATTGTTTCAATTGTTGGAATTGTGGGATTGTTTATAGTTGTAATTGTGTTTGTTGAGTTTAGGATATATAGAGTATATATAGTTGGAATTGTTTTATATATATATATATATATATATATATATATATAGTGTTGTTTAAGTGGTTTTTTGTTATTTTTTTGTTATGGTGTAGTCTTTGATGGAGAATTCACCCAGTCCACAACAATATAATGAGTGGTTTCTTCAACCCGTTCCCATACGAGGGAACTTTTGTATCTTCAAGCTCAACATCGGAGTTTAGCAGTCTACCATAGCTCCGATTCAACGATCAAAACCGAACCTTTAAAAAATTGTCAGTTTGATCAAAAATTTTGGGAGTGCTACTATAGTCATTTTACCCCTCCACAGGTAGAACGCTCATGGCAAGTGCCGGGTTCGAGGGGTTATTGAAAATAGGTTGCAAAAAGTGTCATAATTGTCTCATCACCACATTGGTGGAACGATGGAGACCTGAGACACGTACTTTTCACTTTCCATTCGGTGAGGCAACCGTGATGTTACAAGATCTGGAAGTCCTATTTGGTCTCCGAGTTGATGGAGACATGGTTTGTGGTGTGGCGCAATGGCAAGAGATTTGCTAAGAGATGTTGGGATTCATCCCTGCCGTGGGTCAAATAAGTGAAAATACTCTTAAGATTTCGGTTGTAGAGGAAGTGGCAAACCGTGCAATCCTTGAAGGTAATATTTAAATTTATTTATATTTAATCATCTAATTTGAATTAATTACTTTTTTTGCCAAACAAATGTTAAGGTTTGAAGTGTTGTTTTTGTAGGTTCTCCGGAGGTCGTGTATCAATAAAGGGCCCGATTAATGCTCCTGTGGTTTATGGGTTCTTTTATGTTTTCGAATAGAAGCCAAAACAGTGTTGGTTTTATATTTATTGAACCATTTGGCGGATTTTAGTCATTGTGCAAAACTTAGTTGGGGATCTGCTGTCCTTGCTTACTTGTATTCTAGCCTGTGCGAGGCTAAGAATTATGAGAAACGTGATGTAACTGGCTGTGTGTATCTTCTACAGGTATTTATATATTCAATACGTGGCAATTCAATTTGAAAAATATTTATTATATTGTGAAATATTATTATTTATTGTTGTCGTTATTGATTTAGATTTGGGCATATGAGCGGATCCCGAGAATCATGACCCAAAGAATTTTAAAGAGATTTGAAGAGGATCTTACAGCTCCTTTAGTATATCAGTGAGTTTGTTTCCTATACTCTTAATTTAAAGATCACTAATTTCATTATTATTTTTATTGGATAAATAATACCTTTGATATTTTTGTATTGAAAGGTGGAATTGCTCGTACTCGTACAAGGATGTCCCAAGGTCTAGTCTCCCGGGTTCTAGAGATCAACTGACTACCTTAAAAGCTAGTGATGCAAGCATAAATCACTTTTTATTTTATTATCATTATTTTTTGCCACCATTCTTATGTGAATTAATTCTTCGTTAATTCTCAATTCTTTTCACAGTTTGTTTGGTAACCTTACGAGGATCTCCTCCCTATCCTAGCTGATTGTTGTAAACAGGGAAGTGCCATTTGGATGGCAAGGACGAGGATGTTCTATTGGGTTATCCGAGAATTCCACGAAATTGACAGGGTCGTGAGACAGTTTGGCTACATTCAAGCTGTTCCACGATGGCCTATGATTGCCAATATTCAAGAGAATCGGAATGCTCACGAACACAACATGTCTGAGCTTACTGAGAAAAATTGGGTGGATCGCCATAGTAAAGTACACCCCCATTGGAATTGGAGACACCGAAACATTCCATCGGATTTGGAGGAAAGAGAGGAGCCCGGTCAAACTGATGAGAAGGCATAACAAAGGTTCGGTGAAATCGATAAGCGATCCGAGCCACTACATCAGCCGGATATAAGTCTTCCTCGAGCCGGGTGAAAGTCTATATAAGTGTTTATTTGCAATTAATCTACGTATGAAAGTGCATTTTACTCTATTCATATAAATTTTGAATTATACTCCTTTAGTTAATACATCACTTGATTTCTAGGGTGAAGTGCTGAACAATGTCCGTATGAGGGCCATATTATTTGGAGAAGAAACGTCGTAGAGCCCATCACCTAGACGACGAGCTCGAAAAGGTGCTCGACTATTTCGCAGACGTAACCCACGCTGCTTTAACTTTTGGAAAGGACGATGAGATGGAAATTGAGGATTCCCAAATCCTTGTGAAATATGAACCGCGTCACCCCTCACAAGGTCCGCGCGGTGAAACAATGAAGCCGTGGCTAAGAGAGAAAATTGGAGGAGGAAGAAA